GTTGGTTAGTCAATTTTTTTTTTTTGAGAGGGGCTCTATTTGGAAATTAGACAAGTCCTCGGGATACAATTTTTGTAACTTTAATATATCTCAATTTAGGCATTTGGGTAAATTTATATTATAATAAAAGTTTGATAATTGCACAATAATACTTATTGGTATGCACAATACAACATTTTAATATGCACATTAAAAATACACATTTTGTCACTGAAAATATCCTACCGTATGTATAAAATAGTTAATACTGAAAATATCCTACCGAATACACAAGTGTTAAATAAAATGCATATTAGTGCATATAAAAATGCACAATAGCATACAATATGTGTAATGACAAAGATGCCCCAGCGTGAAAACACAAAAGTATACATAATTACAGTAATGCCACCATCCATTTGTCAAAATCTCTACTATTTGAATGTATATGGAGTGTTGATATATCACATCTAATCGTTAGGATTCATTATTAATTCTTTCACTATGATCTATTCTCATTTAAACTCACTTCATATTAATATTAAATATGTTTCCATAATATAAATAATAATTCATTTCGAATATTTATATTAATTCGGTTGACTGATCGAATGGCTGCGAGTATTGTTTTTCAACGAACAGTAATATAAAAATATGAAATAACAAAACCATAAATATTAAAGCATATTTTCATGATATAAATAGTTTGATACAAGTATAACACGAAAAAAATTAATATATAAAAAATATTGCAATAATAATTGTACTTTCGTAATAATAAACAATAGATTATTTCAATTATATAAGTTAATTCGATGTACAATTATATCTACTAAATATAATTTTAAAAAGCACATACTTTATAGGTGCTCATATAAAAAAAACACTCCATATATCAATAATTTGCACTTTATAAGACAATATATTGCATTCTATAAAACAACACGTTGCACTTTATCGATATGCTCCACAATTAACATCAATATCTCCCTCCAAAATACCACACAATATAAATCTAAGAAACAAATATACATGATACTTTAACATAAATAAAATCATTTATCCACACAAAACACAAGCATGATAACATACCAAAATTATAGCGTTTCGCTTTATAAATCAACACGTTGCACTTTATGAAACATTATGTTGCACTTTACAAAACAACACGATGCACTTTATCATTACTATCAACAAATTGCACATTAGATATCGAATCCGGCCGGACTCAAAAGTTTTCAACAAAAGCCATATAAGAATAATAAATAAGGTTGGTAATATATGAAATATGATTTTAATATAGCTAACTTGATTTGAGATAAAAATTTTGTTAGCGGCAATCGGAGATTATGAAATTATTATTATTATTATTATTATTATTATTATTATTATTATTATTATTATTATTATTATTATTATTATTATTATTATTATTATGTATGGAGGGTGTACATTAGTGTTGTATTAAATATAAATTAATGACTATAATTACACACTAACAAAGGATACTGGCCGAACTATTTTTTTTTTTAATTCTTAGTTTGGACGACCGAATGAACCATGTAGTTCGGTTCAATTTTAATTCGGTTTTGGATAAGAGTTCTATTAGTTCAGATCTTCTAAATGTTCGACTCGATTATTTTCAATTTTAATGTTCCAATCTGTAAGTTCAACTGAACCAATCGATAAACAATATTAGGCATTTGCAACACATTGATAAAATTGTATTCTTTTAACGTGCATATACATACACGCTATTGTGCAATTCATTTATCGTTGATGTACAATATAAGGAACAGTGATGTGCAATGCTTTGGACAGTAATATAAAATTATTAAATTGTAATAAATTACATATTTAACCCATAACCCAAATTGTAATATGTTAGAAAACCCAAAAATTGCAAATGAGTCTCTATGGAATGTCAAATTTTCAACAAAAGGTCCAAAATTTAAAACCCAAATCTGACGTTACAGACCACCGATCTCATTCCAACCTCC